GTAAGATTAATGGTAGCTTTAGAATATTGAGATGAAAAATGATTTGAGTTGTATGCTTGATTATCCAATAATACTTTCTATTATGTAATACTAATCTAATATTTTTTTTAAACAAAAATCTTAAAGTTGGATCCTGTTTATGTGTTCATGTGACTCTTAAATATACGCTGCCAAGTAGATAATGTCAAATTGTTAGAAGATTAGAATAATCGATTTAAGGTATCAACAACTGACCTCTAATATAAAATTAATAGGAATTTAACTATGTTAATTAATGTTAATTGTAAATTAAATTTAATTCCAAAGTATAAAAAACAATTTGTATCTTTTCTGAATTGTTTTAAGACCTTAAAATAATTAAAAAAAATCAATTGACGATTTAAATTCATTTTATTTTTTTTTTTTATATATTTATTTATTTTATTTTTATATAATGATAGGATTGTAAGTGGTGTAGTAAGAGATGTAGCCTTAATAAAGGTTTCAATTTTTTTGGGAAATAAGATCAAGTCAACAGTGGATAATCACTATGATATGGTTTGTGAAATAGAACATGGAAGTTCTGGGAAGTTAGTTAGTCATAATTTTTGAAAAGATCCTTTGAATTCTTTTTTGGGTTTGTACGCTTACAAAAAGGTTGCTAGGAAGAAACCTAATCCAGATGAACAACAGATATTAGACAAAGATGGAGATACAGTTGCGAAGTATCTTTATAATAATGCTAAAATGAATATGTCCTGGATAACAAATTCCTATGAGGAATTTAAAAATACTATTAATTTGGATAAAAAACAAATTATAGACATATTGTTTTATGCTGAAAATTATGAAGCTGTTGGTTATGCTGATAATAATAGGACAGATTGAACATTAAGAATAGATGATTTATCACATGTTTGATTTTTTTGATTTCGACCAGTGTGAGGTTATTAATAAATATGTTGTACTTACCTTGAATAAGTATTTTCCACAAGGTAATGGAATTTTTCAGGAAAATAATGCTCTACCACACTTTTCAAAAGTTGCTGTTGCTACTCGTGAAAATGCTGAAATTGTGAAAATGGTTTGACCTGCACAAAGTCCTAATCTAAACCCAATTGAGAACATTTAGATGAAAATGAAAGTAATGGTTCATTGTCATACCCCACCACCATCTAACATCCAAGTACTTGAAAAGTATGTTAAAAATGCGTGGAAGGATATTCCATCAGAATATTACAAAAATTTAATTAATAGTATGCTTCAAAGAATTAAGGCGGTTATTGCTGCAAATGGGAATAGTATTAATTATTAATAATTTATAAATAAATACAAGATGATAAATATATTTACCTTAAATTTTAAATTTTAATATACAATATACATATATAAGTTTTTTCATTTTGAATAGTGGCCGGATAATTTTGATCGCCTTCTGTAGATTTAAAGAAGAATGAAATTTATAAATGAGCAAAGATTAAATGTATCAGAAATAATATTATTGATTTATTAGAGATTTATCACAAACTCTGCCATTTATTAGGCTGGGCAAAAAAAATTTTAGATTCTCATGACCCAGCCGCCTCAATTTTTACAAAAATTTATAGTAAAATTTTTTTCACGTGACTTTATATCATGAAAATCGTAATGGTGTATAAAGTACATATAAAAAAAATTATATATAAAAATAAAAACCGGGTGACCATATCAATTTTAAAATTTTACGTCATAAGAATCTAAAAATTTATTTGCCCGGCCTTAGGGTAAAGTTTATATAAAATACATAATAGAAAATAGATATTTAATAAAGTAAAGAAAAATAAGAAATATAAGAAAATAAATAGCGATCGTCAGAATAACGAATTTCATATGAATCCGGACATACAACCATTGTGAGTGGGTGATGACAAATAATGACACGATCAAAAATTAGTGTATAACGAAGAAAATAATTATTAAATCTTTGAGCGCAGTTCACATTGAGTTGAACGTCTAATACCATATATAGTTATACATTTAATCAACAAATTTAAAACAATAGGAAATTGGGATCATATTATCGAAAATGATTGTGATACAAAAAAAGGATATTAACAATGAATTTATCCGGAATTCGTATTTCTATTTTTTAATTTGTGATATTTTGATGTTATTATGACTGCTAATAAAAATCTTGTGACAATTATTCGATAATTTACGTGATAAAAGTACTGTAATTCGACTTTAGTAAATCAAATTTGTTCGTGATTTATCAACCGTCATTTGTCCAACAGCAAATCCAATTTTAACTTCAAACGTTCGAAAATAAAAAATATTCCTAGAACGTATTGGTCTAGGGAGATTTTTTAAATTTTAGTAGATAATCTCTATACTAATAATAATATTTTTTTTTTTGATCTACCATATATAATTATAAATTTTGTCCCTAAATTTATATTTAATTTTTATTCTCCTGTTTCAGAGTAAAAATGATGTCAAAGTATCAATTTAGTTTTCGATTTAACATTTGAAACATTATAATGCACAAACAGTAAATAATAATAAATATTACATAGTTTACAAGCACACGACACATGCAAAGGTTAAAAAATTTGTTCTGTACAAAATTAAACTTATTATTTACCATTTAACCTTTTATTTTTTTTAACTCAAGTTTCTGTTTCTTAAAAAAAATTCTATCTTGAAAGGCATCGGTGTGCGAAAATTTTAGAAATTTCTGCACATAAAATAACTAAAAATGATTTTAAAAATGAACAAAGAAAACAACAATCAATACCATCTAGGGAGGTTATAAGATTCTACTTTTGTATTACCAAATTGATCTTACATCAATAAAAGGAGGAAACTAAAAAAAAAAAAATTTTTTTTTTTCAGCCTACCTATCTACTGCAAAGTGTTCATATAGTTGAGAAATTATAATTAATTGAGATATTAATTACATCAGAATCAGAAATTTTGTGGATTGACGAAAGGAAAATTTTAATTATGGAGGTGAAAAACGTCAAGCATTTTTAAAATAACACGTGTTTGCCATGAGACTGATATGTGCATCATAAACGTGACGCTAGCCGAATAACCAAATAAGTCTTTTTTTTTTTTTTTTTACCGAATTTCAGTAAATAAATTCATTTTTAATTTATTTTATTCGGAAGAATCTTACTGCAATGATAACGTAACGACATTCGAAACGAACACGGTCAAATGAATCTACGTCAATATTATTTCGCTATACAGTGGTTAAAATTCTCAGATAATATCCATTCAATGAGAATGTCGATATTAATGTTTAAACTAGCATTACTTGAAAAAGGTCATATATCATCATATATCGTATAATTAATTCATTATATTCTATAATTACAATAATTACATTGGATGAAATTCTGGCGAGATTTTTTCTTAAGGAATTCTATCTATAAAGTATTTGCGCGTGAAATCGGCAAAAACATATAATACTTTCCTTTATCGCATAACGGTAACGTTGACTATATTTAACTAAATTACTTTGAAACAAAGAAAAAAAATTAATTATTTCATTGAATAAGCCCTAAAACAGTTTTTTTTTTCCGATGCTCAAGTATGTAGATGACAAATTTAATATAATGTATATGTAATATTTTACGCGCGTTGATTTCTTAAATATATTAATGAATAGTTAAAGTTCATTCTTGAGGAGTTCATTATATGATTTGATTGAAACATTATTTAGGAATCCTTTGTTGCGCTTAGTTGAAATCTTTTAAAGCATAATGATTAGTAATGATTATAAAAACCGAACCACCGTCATACTACGGATCAAAAATCAATGGAACAAATAGCATTTCGTAATTTGATTGAATTTACTAACTTAAATCGACTTTCAATGAAAAGAAAACAAAAGAAAAAATTTCATATTGTCTTGATAAATTTAAAAAATTAATGGAACTTAAATTGGTAATCGAACAAAGTAGAAATTAATGTTTTAGGCTCATCGACCTTCAGAGTTATCACTTTCAATTGACTAACGTTCATGAATACTTTAGAAAGTATTGTATATATTTTTTCCAATTACTCGGTGCAAATATACTAAAATAATGCTGAATTCATTCGCTATTTCTATATCCCTGTTTAGTTGGCGCTGCTATTTTAATAGTATTAAATATATTTAATGAGTCGCTTTTATTACAATTAAATCAATGGCACAGTATCTCGTTATATCTTATTTACATAGTCATTATCATTTTTCAAATTTTTTTCAGGAATAGTTCTCATGCAAAAAGAAAAGAAAATTTTTTTGGTTCGCTTCGTCGTTTGGTTACACAACATTTTCCACGTGCGTACACGTTTGTTAATCATAACAATAAAGTATTGACATGAGTACATGAGTTTCAATTTAGCGTTAGACAATATGATGATTTTTTCTCTTTTGTTTAAGTACCTCTCGTAAAAAAAAAAATTACCGTGCTTCATTTCACTACAGGGATGTTTCGCCTCTTTATTCTTTAAAAACCGTATGAATAATTTTTCATTTTAAAAGAAAGATCAAAAACGCGTAAACCTTTGGATTATTGTTATTACAAAAATGTTTAAATTCTCTTTCATCTTTTTTTTCTTTGTTTCGGTATGTTCACATATTACCGCTTTAATAATATTATTCTAGTGTTTTTTAATATACACGTGGCATTTCTTACATACTACTTTTGAGTTTATGATTATAAATGAAGTACATTGATGACATCGCACACATTCCTTTCTATATAATATAATAATATTTAATGTATTATTTTATGTATAAAACCTTTTTATAAATTAATCTTTAGGTTTCCAAAAAAAGTCTTATAGATGCAACTTTTGTCGCGTATCTAAGTGGGAAATTAGGAAAAAAAAAAAAAAAAAAAGAATGCAAAGTCCATTAATTTACATATGCTAATTGAAATTGCAAGTTCACATATACATATATAACGTTCTCCAACGTTTTCTTCTTTTTTATGATTTCCCTTCCTTATTTTATTTTTTCCTTAAAAAATTGGATTTTATCTAAAATGCACGCCCAGAGATTCAGAAATACTTCTATTATTAATAATTATAGTCGATTGATATTAAATACATTCCTAAATAATATCAATTATAATAACGTACACTCACTACCATGCAATAATGACGCGCAACTACTTGCAAATCGATCAAGAAGACATGGCAGAAGAGTTCAAATTCTAACAGGAAAAAATTTAATGAAACGTAATGTCGTCCGTGAAGCTCACAGATTAAACATATTTAATCGACATTTAATCAATCTGGCAGCGGATACCATTTGGAATTTACGCTTAACACCTTTTCAAAGGGGTCGATTTATAATTCTAGCAACTAGCGCGAATATTATTAATCAATTCCCCATTTCACAAACTCGTTTGATACAACATAATCCTAATACTATCGATCAAATAAATACACATCGAGATACCAACGATCTTGAGCAAAGTATTTTCAATGGAACCGACTTTAACGACGACGATAGCTTTGATTCTTTAATTCTACCTGCTGGAAGCTTTTTTGGATCTTCCAATTTCCCTTAATATTCCAAAAAAAAAGAGCAATTTTTTAAATCGAATCAAACAATCCGCTGAGTGCTTTTTAATAATTACGAAAATTTATATATTTTTTTATGGTTATTCGTTACTTTACCTTTTTACGCTTTACATTCTTTTTTTTTTTGGAATCGTTGTTTTTTTTTCTTTGACATTCGACTCGTTATTTACGAACATCGTTGTTTTTTTTTCATCGTTTTTCGTGGTGCTAAACTTTCGTCCATTTTATAGATATTCATTTATTTTACAAAAATTCGTTACTCCAACTATAGCAACTTGTAGTAAGTTCATGAATGACGCGATTAATTGTTTACACATTTCTGGAACCGTTCCCAGATTTAATTTTATTATTCACACTAATATGATTTATATAAGCATTCCTTTATGTATCTTAAATTAAGCAATTTTTAAGCACTTCATTACATAAATTACCATAATGTAGAATAGTTTTATTGAATAAATCAAACAATGATAAATCTTGAGTACAGTTTTGCACGGTGTTGAGCAATATAAAATGTCTTTTTTTTTTATTTACTTTTTTTGGTTTATTTAAATGAATGATCTAAAAATTGGTTCTCACTTTTTCAATAAAAAGATAGGTTTGTTTAATTATAAGGAATTCTAATCATAATATATTTGAAATTAAAATAATTAAAGTCTTACGATTATTTGATGCATTTCGTTTAAAAACAGTAATACCTTCATGAAAAGACTTTCCCATTTTAAAAAGTTAACTTACGACCTCTTAGCTCTCGTTTGATACGTTATCATGAAGTTAGTCAAAGAAAATGCAGTCATTTTCTTAGTCTTTTATTCTTCCTCCTTATTTTGCATGTCTCAGGACCGTTTCTGACCTTTGCTAATAGTACTAATTATCAACTAAAAAAAAAGGCGTGTTTGTTATTTTTCAAATGATCATAATGAGAATCGTACCAAGTCAGATGGAACGCCGATTCTTAACAATGATGTAGGAAGACGAATATCTTTAGCAAATAATAATTATAAAAACTCTTATATATTCGTGAAAACCATCAAACTACCCTTCATGACACGAATGAAATCATTCAGACGTTTTATTCTAGGCCTGAGGAATCTTGAGAGTATTCTAAACAATAAAAAAAAAACAGATCACTTATATACATAAATTTAGATCAGCATAAGTTAGGTAAAATATAAACCAAATGAACGAACTGCAGAAGAAGTTAATAATAATTAGGGTTGGTAAAGTCTCAGGTCCTGGACCTAAAAACTTAGTTCTAGGATTCTAGGACCAGGTCTGCAGATCTTTAAGTCCAAATTTTTAGACTTAATAAAGACTAAGTCCGGATTTAGTCATAACCAATTAAAATAAAAGGTCTTAAGACTAAGTCTAAACTCGGTCATTTATAGTTACAATCTGCTAATTAAAAAGGATGTTAAGTTTAAACGGTACATCATTAAGTTAATAGAACATATTTGCTAACAGGAATTCTAAACTATGAAAGAAATAAAAGCGAATTAATTAAATTGAAGGGTCAGATCATCTTTATTGATATTGATTTAAAGAAGAATGAATTAAAAGTAAACAAAGATAAGTTTCAGAAATAAAATGTTATTGATTTATTAGAGATTTGTAACAACTCTGCCATTTATTGAGGTAAAGATATATGATATTTATATAAAATACATCAATATGAAATAGATATTTAATAAAGTAAAGAAATTAAATATATATAAGAAATTAAAGATATTAAAGAAATGTAAGAAATTATAGATTGCTAAGAAATTATAAAAATTATAGAAATTAAATAAATGATAAAAATTTAAAATTCATAATCATCAGGATCATATTACTAATAAGATATATATATTTCAGATGTTAATATTACACTATGAGTTTGAAAAATTTATATAATGATAGCAATTTTAATGATAAAGTCATATTTATTAGTAACATATAGATTTTAACATTATATAATAAATTATAACCCAGCTAAAAGTTTTTAAATATCATTTTTTAGATATGATTTTATAATAGTAATATTATATAAATTAATAATACTGCAGTTAGGATTCTGCAATTTGATTTGATATTTGAATATTTGATTAAAAAATCAAATTAAATACAAATACAAATTTATATTTGATTCAATATGATCAAATTCAAATCAAAGAATGATTTATTTGATCTAAATTAATAATTGATTCGATTAGATCAAATTTAAATCAAGTATTTAAATATTTAATTTAATTTGACTCAATAGTAAAACTGTTTTTAAAGCTTCAGAGGTGGTATTTACTAAGAAAATCATAGTAAAAACACTTCTGCTACTTCAGAAATACCTTTTTTACTAAAAAAACATAGTAAAAAGCATTTCTGCAACTTCAAAAATACCTTTTTTACTAAGAAAATATAATAGAAATACTTCTGCAGCTTTGGAAATATTATTTTATTAAGAAAAATATAGTAAAATACCTTTATAGCTTTAAAAACGTTATTTTACTAAGAAAATATAGTAAAAATGCTTTTGTGATTTTAGAAATGTTATTTTATTAAAAAACTATAGTAAAAATGCTTACGTAACTTTGGAGATATTTTTTATTAAGAAACTTAGTAAAAAATGCATCCATAACTTTGAAAATACTTTTTACTAATAAAATGATTCTAAAGCTATAATAGCAGTTATTACTAAGTTTTTTTTAGTAAAACTAAAGCTGCAATAGCAGTTATTACTAAATTTTCTTAGTAAACCAAAGTCATAATAATTTATTACTAGGTTTACTTAAACTACAATAGCAGTTATTAATAAAAATCATCTTAGATAGTTCAGATGCAACATTTTATTATTATATTTTATAATAAAAGTTACACAACAGTTTGAATGTGACTTAATTATCTTATTTTATAATAAAAGTTATATCTGATTTGTCAGATATAACTTTATTATTATACTTAATAATAAAAGTCACTCTGACAAATCAGATATAACTTTTATTATTATTATTTATAATAAAAGTTATCTGACAGTTCACATGTAACTTTATTATCATTTTTTATAATAAAGTTACCACTGACACTTCAGGTTTAACTTTTTCTAATAAAGTCACATCTAAACTATTAGAAGTGGCTTTTTTATAGTATTTGACTTTAAAGGTAAATTTATAATTATTTTTTCTATAAAAGACTTCTGATGGTTCAGATGTAACTTTTTCTAATAAAGTCATACCTAAACTGTCAAAAGTGACTTTTATTATCACATCCAAACTTTTAAAAGAACCTTTTATTATTATTTTTTATAATAAAAGTCATCTAACAGTTCAGATGTAATATATTATTTTTTTTAATAAAAGTTGTTTTTGACTCTTCAGATATGACTTTTTCAAATAAAGTCACAACTGAACTATCAGAGACTACTTTTATTATCAACAATTCAGAAGTGAATTTTATTATTATTTTTCATAATAAAAGTCATTCAACAGTTTAAAGGCGAATTTATTATCATTTTTTCTAATAAAAGTCATCTCTGATACTTCAGATATAACATTTTTAGAAAAAATACCAATAAAAGTCATATCTAAACTGTCAAAGGGATTTTTATTAATATTTAATAACCAGAAATTTTGGATTAATCTGAAAATTTTCAGTTCAGATCAGATTATTCAAAAGTATCAGATTGGTTTAGTTCAATTTACATTTTTTGGATTTATAATCTGAATTAGACTAAACTGAAAATTTCAGATCAGATCAGATTGGCATCTAATTTGAATTGAAATGAGCTTTACATAAAAATATATATTTTTCAAGAATTTTATTATGATTGAACTGATATTAACATATATGCTAATATGAATACAAATCCGGTTGATTGATCTATTAATTGATGTTAATCATGCTTAAATATTGCAGTCATTAGAACAAGTGAATGCAAATAAAATTAGAAACTTGATCTTTACTAATTGGTTTATAATATAATCAAACCTTTATGTAATAATATAGCTATTTTAAGAAAAAATATTGGTATATCAAGTTATCAGTATATTGAGAAAATTTTATATAATGATATTACTATTGTAAACCAAAGAATTGAAAAATGTGGCACAGTAAAGTGATCTACAAAAGTGATCAACATGTGAATTGATCTACAAAAATCAATGACACAATAATCTGCAGAAGTGATCTGTGAAATTAATCAGATCAGTTAATGAAGAAATAAAGTAATAGATCATTAGCCCATAATGATACATATAACCTTCTAAACTAAAAACTCCAAAAAAGAACTTGAAGGAAAAACTAGTTAAAGGTTAAGTATAAGAATATAGTAATAAGTTAAGAATAATATAATTATATTATTTACATCTCTTCAAATATTTATATATTATAATTATAGGACTATTGCATAACGATTAAGTAGTTATTACTCAATCATTATAACAAAATTACATAAAAAAAGATGAGAAAATTATTACATAGTTTTTATACAATAGATAGCAATTTAGTGTAGAAATTTTATTATAAATAAGCTGAGTTTTTCATCATGTATCGATAGAAATTTAGG